GTCGTGGTGGTGGTGGCCGTGGTGGTGGCGGCGGCAGTGGCGGTGGTGGTGAGTAGAGGAGTATAGTGGTAGCAGTAAAATAGTTGTCATCTTTGTAGTCGTAGTTGTAGCTGCAGTGAGTTGCTCTGTCGTCGTCCTCCTCCTCCGCCTCCTCCTCGTCCTCGTCCTGGTCCTCCTCCGTCCTCCTCCTTGTCGTATATTAGGCGTAATCGTCGCAGTGAGGAGTAGAAGCACCACAGCAGCCGTAGCAGCAGCGGTGGACGTGGATGTAGTGCTGCCGTGCCATGGTTACCAGTGCCGTTTTTTTGCTTTGCGTTGAATGCATCAATAAGGAATCTTGCAACCTGTAGCGGTCAAGGTAAACTCTAAACTGACCCTGGACCTGCCTTACGCTGGCTGAACCTTTCAGCAAACTCCTCAACTCATAGCTACCCAAGCCAGGAACTCCGAAGGACAGCGGAAAGCCAGGCACATCATACCACGCCTGCCATTCGTGTTCCCAGATTTGCTGATGACAACTAGAACTATGATTCCCAGATATTCCCAGCCTATGGTCAGTGATGCTGAAGTGCTCTAAAGGCCAATATTATGGCCCCATCCTCCTCACGAAGAAGTTATGGAGGTTTCTTGGAAAGCTGGGTCTGTTTGGAGCACAGATTGTTGACCTGCATTCTCAAAATAAAGTTTGGGCGAAGTTTAACACCGCTTCCTAGCTCTTGAAAACCTAAACCATGACACCCCAACCCATGTCCATCCAAACCAGGAACTCCGAAGGAGAGCGCCAAGCCGGGCACTCCGAAGCAAGATGCAAGGCCGCCCACTCCAAAGGACGCTCCAAAGCCAGGCACGCCCAAGGAGGCCCCCAAGCCGGGCACGCCCAAGGACTGCTGTTGCATACATCATCTTATGCGCATATTATGCCTGTATATATATATATGTACATGTATACATGGATGTTTTCCGTTTTTGACGCGCCCCCTACCTAACATCACTAGGGATGTGGGGATTCGGCGAAGCAAGCCCCAAAGCAAACCCCCGAAGCAAATGGTTTTGGAGAACCAACTTCCATATAGTAAATTCTATATTAAGTAAAAAGCCTTATCATTATGGGTGGAGGTTGCTCCAGACATCCTTCCATTCTCGCGGAAGTTCTTTAACAATCATTGATGAACGTTTTCTTAGACAGTCACTCTAGATGTTCACTTAGAAGCCCCATCGCTGTAGATGGATCCCCTAGGTATCCTATCGTTGTTTCTTTAGACCATGTTCGCCAAGAAATCTTCTGATTGAGATGAAGTTTTCCCCAGACATTGATTCATGTTAGGTGAGATTTCCACCAGGAATCCTAGGATTTCAGCGGCAATTGAGGTTTCTGGCGAAGTCCTACCGCATGAGATGGAGATTAATTGAGACATCTTGCCATGTTCGATGGAGATTTCCACAGATATCTGCTCATTTGACATGAAAGTTGCCCTGGCCATCCTGTTAGTACAGATGGAGACCTGCCTAGAAAACCTACCATTTTTAGACGGAGGCTGCCCTCAACATCCGGTGGGTCCAGATTGAGGTGCCCCGTAGAACTCTGATCATTTCAGATGGAGGGCCCGCTTGTATCAGGAACTTACATGAGGCCTCATGTAACCAAGAAAACAGAAAGAAACAGATTGAGGTCGCCTAAACGGAAAGATGACGCCAAATTACTCAGTCAAGCCTTGCCCTAGATGCTCAACCACTCAGCCGCTGAAGCCACGGAGAGCTGTTAGAAGCAGTGCAAGTGATACGGGGCACCCCAAAAGCTTTTCAGACTATACCCCTTGAATCTGCAAAGCGATAGGGGCCACCCTACACAAATTCCACCATTACTACAGACAAACAATAGCGCCCCCCAGATGTATGTGGAATGCATTGTTTCAAGCTTGTACAAGTGCCAACTGTGAACATACGTGTGTAGATACGTGTGCATATATGCACGTTCATTCGTTTACTTTTTCTTATTCATGCACTATGTAGATCGTTATGATTTTATCAATTTTATCTACAGATGTGTAGGTGGATCTTCGTTGCGGATGTGGTCATATTAGCATCGCCCATTACGGGTGTGGTTTTTGTTGAGCGAATGCCGTGCGGTAGCTCAATTGTGAAAAGCGCCAGGGGTTTCTTGGAATGCTGCAAAACATATGCGTATACGTCGAGCATGCAGCAGTAGGGTACCAAGACCAAGGGCAGACCTGGGTAGCTTAAACACGAACGCGTGACTGTTTCGTTGCGGTCTTCTCCAGCATGTATTGACAGTGTAGGGCCGGATTCTGAGTCCGGCCTTTCAAAATATTTTCTTAGTTTGGTCTGGAGCTCTACGACTCTAAGTCTCGCTGGTTTCGAGGACAGTAAGCCTGGAACTCCGAAGCCAGAGACTCCCAAGGAGGGAACGGAGACTCCCAAGAACAGGCAAATGAGGGGTTCTCTGAAAACACTCTGAATGATGGTTTGCTGTTGAGTGGTCCGTTGACCGAATGACCCTGTTATTATTCAGTGTAGGGGTAGTCTAGTTTTACAACAATGGCATCCAGTATGAATCTCTGGTTGCATAATTAGACATTCACTTGGTTTGGCATTGCGGTTGTGATTGGTTGCACAAGTTTGCGTGCATCGCTCCCAGGTTTACTGTACGGGAATCTGAAAGGCAGAAATCTGAAAGGCGATCAAACAATATTTGATGACTTTTCGTGTGTGCTCCTACAACTTTGGAGATCTTGGTTGCTGGGCTCCTGAGGAAAGCTTGCTGGTTCACGGTCAGCCCACCTTGTTCTAACCATGGAAGTAGGTGCAAGATTTTTCGCGTAGCCGCTCCTCCTAGAGGTGTTGGCGTGCTTTCCCTTTCGTCAAGGATTCTGCACGCGGTTGTTTATGTGCTCAGCCATATGTTCAGATCACGTTGATTGTGCCCTACTAGAATTCCAGCTTTGAGGTGGGTTTTCATTCTGATGGGCCCTGGGGTCATTTGCGAATTCATCACTTCTAATGTTTCCATGCCAGGGCAGGAGAGCAATCAGCTTCTTGCAGTTCTTCAGACAGAACTACAGCTCAACGCCGGTGACATTGTTGCAGGAAAGAAGCCGGCAAGACTCCTCCGGTGGACACCTCCAACAAGGTCCGCTGGCCGAGTTTAGCAGCATGCATAAGACAGAATTCAGAAGGTCACAAAGGCAAGAATCCAGACATCTCCTTTTGCCCTTACCGACAGGAGCTATGTTAGGATTAGTCCGAGTTTTGGATTCCCGCTAAGAGTAGCCCGCCTCTCCAGGAAAGGGCAAGAAGGAAAAGTCTACTACAAGATGCCCGTACTGTTGTCACTACCTGGAAATTCCGGAACACTTTCGTTGATCGACCTGAAGCTTCTCACAGCACGCAGCAGCTGCTTAAGGCTACGGGCGAGCCTGCGGCCAAGAAGCTGCGCGCAAAGGAGTGGGACACTGGGAGATGGTTTCGGTTTCCAAGATCAATGACAGTTTGGAGTCTCACTCAATGCGAGAAGCCTTTATTCGAAGCCCATCTCGTGTCCCACCAGAAGCGCACTTCCAACAATTTGATTGCTTTCTGGTCGTGCGTGCGCAGCATCTTCGTTGTTTTTTGGCAGCAGCGTACTGTAAGTCATGGCCCCTTGGCTGACGGAGCCTAACATATTGCCGACGGTAGCCAAAAACGACATTGCATAGTTGTTGATCTGACCATGATGGGCCTGCATCATACAAGCAGCTGGGCAGAGACAGGACATCCAGCAAAACAGCATGGACGCCACCGTGCTGAAGGGCGAAAAGGCAGGCCCATTTAGCCCCTGGTGATGCGACGTTTTTAGAGGGTTCTGCTTCAACTTGTTTTCAGATCAGGAGGGATGTTTCCAGGATGTCGAATTCTCCATCTTTGGTCTGCTGTTAGGGTCTATCATCCACCCAAAACCCTTCTCTAATCATTCAGGCTGTTGCCCTAGGTAAGGTATGCGGTCCTGAGCAAGTGAATACTAGTTCATCAGGGCCAGTGGACTGTGGTACCGTAGGGGGTATCATTACAGTGCCTGTGTGTGTGTGTGTGTTCTTTCGTGAACACATGGAATGTACGTCAGAAGAGGAACCACCACCGCCGCCGAACATGGACCCTAATATGAGCCCTTGTTCAGTTTGCAAGTTATGCGCCTTCTTACTGAAAACATTTGTATGCCCACCAAAACTAGCTTACCTGGCCAAAGCCATGTGTGGTCAGAGTGCGGACAGGTGCCGGGCACAGAGTACATTGCATCGCGGTGTGCCTTGGTAGTCGGGCAGAAGGTCCGCGACGTCATTGGCACTGTCCAGCAACCTGCCAGATCAGACCCCTTCCCTAAGTTGCAAAATTTGGGCCCCGATGAAAGAGTAGAAGCTATCCAATGTTTAGGGTCGAAATTCAAAGTCAAGAGGATGGGAGAATTTAAAGTGGGAGCAAATGAGCTTGGTTCAGTGGCTTGGACGTGTGTAGGGCCAGTGTAGGGCTTCAACAACTAGTTGTCGAAGTCAGATCCACAATAATTGCCCCCTGAAGTGTAAATTCACATGGGTGGTTGTCAAAATTATAGTCCCTATTGTAGTACGGCACCTAATATTTAGGGTACCCAAAAAGGGACCATAATTTTGACAACCACCCACATGTTGAGTTCTGGCGTGGGACATCTACCATCCAGGAGGAGCATGGAGCGCAGTGGAGGACGGGCAATAGAGTCTTTTGGAGCAAGTCGCCCCAGGCATTCTGGACACGGCTATGTCTGATTCTATGTGAACGGTGTGCAACTAAGAAATGTTTTTTGAAATTTGGTTGTGCCTGAATGGCTTGCCACGTCTGCCTGTGCCATCTGAGCCGATGTGAGGGATGGCATTCGTGTACATGTTTCCACCCAGCCTGAGCCAGACATTAGTCTGATAGCACACACATGTACACACAAGTCTAAAGCATTGTCTGCATTAGTCCGCAGACGGCCCTTATGATGATCCGCGGCCAGTAGAGAATAATGTAAGTGAGGAGCCACGTCTGACCACTGCGAAACATACCCCTAAACATATAGTCCCCCTTAGGTAGAAAGAATATGGGGTATATGGGGAACTTAGTATGATGTACCCAAAGCCATATTCTATCTACTTAAGGGGGACTAGAACCCATTACACATCCCTGTGAACACGGGGCTAGGTCCTTCGATACATGCCGTCGGAACATACCCAATCCAAACATGCCTTTTGTTTACCCGCTTTGCTGGAAACACCCATATCTTGGTAGAGTACAGGGATCAGCTGTTAGCATTGCAAGTTACCCCCCTCCCCCGTCAAGTCTCCGTCGGATCGTCGGATATGCAAATCCTTGTACAGCTGACAAGCGCCGAATGGTCAGCGAGACATGTCCTGAGCATTGCAGTAAACCCCCCCCCAAGTCTCTGTCGGATCGTCGGATATGCAAATACTTGTACATGTTGTTCGCTTCCGTCATGAACTCCATGTTTGAAAGTCTTCCTCGGTGGCTGCAGAAGGGCTTTTGAGCTTTGTAGCTGCGAAACTGAGGTTCACCAAGACGAATGGTACCGTTGCAACATATGCATTGGCAGACCTTCGGTACGACCTGTCCTGCGGTTTCCTGAAACTTGAGGAAACACCTCAAGTAGGTTCTGAGGCCTAGTCCTACGGTGGATACTAAGAATCCTGCATGACCCTAAGTACAATAAACCTTGGCAATTGTGGTATTATAGCATGGTAAGGTCATGAGGGATTTCTAGTATCAACAGTAGTGTACTGTAGACTCGGGTTCTGTGGGGGTCTATAGGCTCGACTAGAAGTACGTCTGGACGTTGGGAAAGCTTAGAGGCTCGACATGATCAGAATAGATCAAAATTTTGAGAGGGTATGTTCCGATTCGGGTTTAGGGGTTTAGGGTTTAGGGTCCGAAGAGAGATTAGACATTGGCAGTCCTTTAGGCTCCTACAGCGGTCCTATACGTACAGTATCTCCAGGCTCCATGACTACCATTATGGATGCAGTTCTTGCAGGTGTCGGATATCAGTATAAGATACTATAGGTCTGGTTTATGATGTGCAAGTTTAGTATTTTCGAAGAGTAGAAGTCTCGGCCCGTAATAATGGCCCTTAGGCTTTTTAGGGGGAGTCTAGGGAGGGTATGTAGCACATATATAAGAATCCCAGGGTTAAGGGCCTATGCTAGGGGCTCAATGGTTTCAACCTTAGACATAGACATTTCATTCAATTCATGATCCGCAAGTTTGGCAGTTTGGATTTGCATGCTTCCGGTATGGTTGCAGAAGAGCTGAAGCCAAGCATTCACCCTAGCGGGGCTGGGTATGTCTTGTCTTCCCACCATATACCGCGCACATACACACACACACACAAGCGCATGACTAGTAGTCATCTCACGAAGGCCCTCAAGAGCCCAGATCTCTACCGGATGCCTGGAGTCCTCCGGCGCCGCGTTGCGTCCAGTCAGGCCTTACGGTCTGTGTTGGCGTTCTCGAATGGACCCAGGGCTTCAGCCACTTCCAGCCTATGGCTTCTTTGTAAGATAGTAATATCTTTTCTGGTCTTTAACTAATAGCTAATGTGATGTGCTCGTAATTGGAAGCCCAGGGCCAGTTAAGTCGGAGCAGATGACTGCAGACGGGATTATGAGGAATACTACCATGCACTGTGAGGGCAAAGAAGCGTAAAGTCTCCAAAGCATGCTAGCCATGTGCATCTACGCCTTGTGATGTTGGCTATCGCATGGTGTTGCAGTTTGAAACAGTAGCACACGCTTGGCATCTAAAAGGCATTGAACTGGAGACCTAAGATGTCTCTGTTTGCGGACGTCTGAAAGCCAAAGGTTGCGCCGACGGGGTCGAAAAAGATGAGCGGAGTGCTCCCGTGCACCTAAGATCGCTAGGGTACTGCCCCGCAACAAGATGCAGTCTTAAAACCCGGCAGCTGGAAACAGGTGTGACCTGTCCACCACTGAAAGGCGTTACTTGCAAGGTCAGTCAACAATGATTTCAACATTCACTAAAGTGCATTAGGAAAAAACAAAAGCATCAGGCCCTGCTGGTAAGCCCCAGTGCTGCACAGACGGGCCATGCTTCGTAGCTATTTTGTGAGCCTTTGTGATTGCCTCGACAGCAAAGTAAGAGGCGCTTGCCCTGTACTGAGCTTCTTACTCGTAGAAGTGGCAGACGGTTCCTGAGCTGACATTGAAGTTGCTGTTGCTGCGCATGCATAGCTCTTGAAGATCTTGGATCTGCTGGTGCTTCTTTAAGGTCGCGTGGAAGGCGCCGACAGGATTTTTCACCTTTACAGTATAGCTTTTGACTCTTGGTGGACTAAGTCATGTAAAGGCTAATTACATGACCTTCATGTACATGAGTTCCTGGACAGTTTTTTAAGATTGATGAATGTCGAATTACAGTATTGTTTCGAAAGCCGAATCTTTGGGCAGACGCCCGAAGAACGAATTTCAGGTCAAAGCATGAGTTGCGGCTTGTTAATGCACTTCGCGGATGAAGCCCCCGCCAGGACAGCATGGCAGAGTTCGATGAACAGGAGTGGGAGTTCCAGAGAGAGTGGGCTTCGCACATTCAATCTTTGACGTTTGACTTCTATCACAGCTGTCTGAATGGAGCGTCGCTGACTCTGAACATCCCCAGCTCGCAGCAGCTTGTACCGATGCAGCCTTCCAAAAGTCCTCCTAATAGCATCATGAAATTCTGCAGATTAAAGTCGCACCTCAATGCATACCGAACTCTTGATATCTCTTGCCTGCCCTTTCCTTCATGCGTCAGCATCAGGTAGCAAGGCCTACAAAGAAATTTCTTTGTAATTGTTTGCAGGAGAAGCCTGTTCCCCAGTTCGCCATCTACGGCCCACGCCTGACGCCCCTCGCTGAGGCATCCCTAGAGGGTGGAGCTGAAAAAAAGCCTGATTTGCCAAGGTAACGCGCAAAATGCAATGATGGTTGCTAATGTCGGCTGCTGCTGTAACGGAAGCGCGCCACTAAATCTCAAACCGTGGCCCACAGAGACGGAAGTTAGAAATTAAGATGCGTCTACCGTCAGTCTACGGTGCATGGGATTCCAGGGTGGTGCGCCCCTGCCTATGGGAAGCGTCCAGACCCTGACTCTGCCAACCATTCCAGCCTGCGACATCCTCTGACAGGTCTTGCGCTGCTCTTGGGCCAAGGGTCCTGCTGGACAGCCGTTCGGCCCCTGCTCCCCTCGTACTTCTATAAAGGGATCCAAGGGCCGTACAGAGGTGATGCATGTCATGTGTGTGTGCAAAGTGCGGCAAAGGCTAAGTCACCCATAAGAGTCGACCTGATTGAATCAAAGAGCGGATAAAGTCACATAAACAATGTCTACCGGCCTGCAAATGTTCTGGTAGGCTTGGCATGGCGACGGGGAGGAGCTCTAATAGGGCTGGGGGAATTCAACGAGTTCGGGTGCGTCATAAGGTGTTCCGGAACCACCCGTCCTATGCAGCGTCCATAGCACGACAGGCAGATGACGAGCTGTACCGATGCACCTTTCAAGAATCCAGACCCCATAGACCAAAAAGGTAGGGACACAGATATCCTGTAGTCCCTTTTTCCCTACTCTTGTAGATACACTAATGTTCCGTAGTATGCCTCTCTAGGACCAATCAGCCCAGATAGTGGCTGGTATGTTATCAGTCAGTTTCGACTTATGCGTCGGCCTCACACCTCAGGTCCATGTGGGTGGTTGTCAAAATTATGGTCCCTTTTTGGGTACCCTACATATTAGGTGCCGTATCATAATAAGGACCCCAAAACGGGACCATAATTTTGACAACCACCCATGTTACAAATGCCCAGACTCTGAGGAGGAAAGTAGAACCTCTATTTGTCACTCACCCTACAGTGCTCTTCAGTGATTTCTACGAAGTCTCCAGGGAATCTTCGTTTTATGTAAATCTTTTCAAGGGTTTGGGTATGCCAAGAGGTCCAAGCACAGTCTCGCAGGAGGCTCTGTGGCTGATAGCAATAGGCATACTAGCAATAATGTCAATAGTTGGAAATGAAGTCAGGAATCAAATTGAAAAGACGTTGAGTTGAAATGGAAGCTGCCACATACAGGGCTTATTTAGCGCGGGATCTATACCGGTATTACCCAATGATGGAGAATCAAATGGAAAATGGAAGGAAGACTACTCTATACTGTTCGCCTCGTTGAAACTCTGATTTCCCACAACCACCAACAGCTACACACACTCCAGGCATTTGTTGCTTACTGTACTGGCAGGCAACAACACAGTAAATCCAGTTTGAAGGACACTGGAACTCCAACTGCTTGGTAGTACTTAGGGTGGTTCCTCATGTTACCAAGCACCTCAGAATCCCCTAGCAGCCTGCAGAATTAGAAGTATCCGCTAGGTCCTCCTTAGCAATGCCCTGGAACCGTCCGTGACTTGAACAGCGAGGTCCACACGCGTGTCCGTGAAGGCTGATGAACAACCCGTCCCCAAGGGTCCGGTCAGGCGCTTAGAAGGAGGCGGCGACTTTCGAAATCTACTCTCCCTCTATTCCGTCGCTGTTGGTACTTCTATCGCAAGCTGACTCTGCTGAAAGATGGTGTCATTGTATTCCTTCTTATTGCCTTGTTATGTGTTGCTGCAGATGATTATTTGGTACAGGTACATGGATGCCGTTCTAAACCCC